ATATTTAATATTATGCATAAAAGTTTCTGAGAAAAATATTTGACATAAATATTTTATATTTTGTATTAATCATACTAAAGTTTTTATGGATTAAATTATATAGCATATAGAATATGCCTCAGAGGAATGGAAAGCATGGAGAGGTAAACAAAAACCAACAGAAAACTGTTGATCATTTTTTAATCTTAATTATGGACACATGAAGATGTGCTATAATATTATCTCAATTTTTACATATTGATATTTTCTATAATACATGCTTTAAAAATAACCAATTAGAAAATAAAATTTCAACATTATTTTGAACTCTATATAGATCCTAAATATTTATTGAGCAGATCCATGAAATTTTTAACAATTTGAAGAATTATATTTCTAATGTTTAATATAACTACAAGCCCCACTTTCCTGTTTTCTTTTGAATATCAAATCTGTCATTCCCCTAATAAACCTGTTTTTCCCTCCAGGACTAAAAGGCACTTTTTGGAGTTCAGTTTAGGTTTCGTTTTTTTTTTTTTTTTGAGTTGGAGTCTCACTCTGCCACCCAGACTGGAGTGCAGTAGCTGCTCCCGGCCACCGCAGCCTCAACCTGCTAGGCTCAGGAGATCCTTCAGCCTCAGGCTTCCAAGTACTGGAACTACAGGTGCACGCTACCACGCCCAGCTAATTTTTGATTTATTGTAGAGATGAGGTTTCACCAAATTACCCAGGCGGTTCTCGAACCCATGGGCTCAGGCAATCCACTCACCTCAACCTCCCAGAGCAAGGGATTACAGGCTGAGTCACCGAGCCTGGCTAAGTTTAGGTTTTTAATAAATATACAAATAAAGTTTGCAGTTTTCATGTGTTAAGGGACTGTAAAGTGGTAACAATTCAGTCTCTTTCTTCAGGCAGTTAAGATTCACACAAGACAAAGTTATTATCTATTAAATTCTGATTGTATGTTCTTACTTTCCAGTGGAGGATGCAATTGCTTTTTAATCTTCTCTCACTTATACCTGAGAAATATATCAACCATATGGTAAATAAATATAGTTGCATTGACTAATGATACTCCTTTAAGTTTGGCATTCTTGATCATATCAAATATAAATGATGTCTAAATGATTTTAATTAATATTAAAGTAATTAAACTACAAAGAGACTGTTGAGTTCATCCAGTGTCAGTGAGCACAAGTTATTTTTCTGATAGTTTCACGAGAGGAGCCGTAAAGATGGAGATGCATTTTTCCAAAGCAAAGGCATAAATAACCTCTCATTTTTATAGTTTGTGGATGGTAAATTTTTTTAGTAATTAACTAAATTTTCTTTGTGAGAATTGATACTTCTATTAAGGTCACCAGTTTCTGAAAAAACCAGATACCTACTGGATGTATTAAATGCGATGGTGTCTGAAGATTAGTAAGCTTAGACATGTCTTTTTTTTCTTTGAAAACTAGCTCCTGCTCTATAACTGGAACTTCTACGTCTAATTAAAGATTTTAAAATTCATTTAGTAGTTGGTATGCCAACCCTGTTTTATGGTTTGATCTATCAACAGGCAATAAGGAATTAATATTACTGACAAACATGCAGGAGGTTTTATTAATTGAGCAAAAGCTTCTTCTTATATATAATCAAATCAAATTTATCTAATCTGTTTCATCATAAAGAACTCTATGGCACAGTGAAAAAAGTACCATACCAGAGGATAAGAAGATTTGCGTGATAACATAGGACTTTATATTGCTGCTTATAGGATTTTGAAAAAGGCAGGTCAAATACTTGGGTCTCATTTTCCCCAATATTATTATATAGAACTAAACGATGGTCACTTCCATCTCATAGGTTATAGACTCTATATTCCTCAACAGTTTAAGTTCTTAATAAGTCCCTCTCACTGACAATACAATATATAAACTTCTTTACTGTCCTAGCATATTTTGGACATAAACTAGTATCTCATCTCATCCTGCATTACATCATTTGTTCCAGACATTGAGGTGATAACTACTTGAGCATCTTATAGCTTTCTTTCCTCCTACACTCCCATACTGAAAGATTCACTGGAAAAGAAAGAAGATCTTTAAAACGAGCTAAAATTGAAATGTTGGCACTGACAGGGTTACAGTTACCATTCTGCATTATCCTGGGACTTCATATCTCTTAGGACCAAAGAAAGACTTATTAACTCCTCCTTTCCTGCTCTGAGAATTAGAACAGTCACTCCTGGTGAGGGGAACTATACTACCAAGTAAGTGAGACATGGGAAAAATAAAAGTGGTAGGTAATGGGCAAAAGTAGAAGGGAACGTGAGAAGAAAAAGAAGGAGGACAGACATAAAACTTTGTGAAGGAAGACCCAGGAACTGGTTCAGGAATGGGGGCAGGGGCGTGAGTTCTCAGTTTAGCATAGGACATAATTTTCACCAAAATATTTCGGTTGTTCATCCTCATACTTTTGGCATTCTAGTCAGATTCAGACTTTCAGATAGACAGGACTTACCTAAGATGTCCTTAACTTTTATGGCAAATGGCCTCTCATCATGAACATGCTGTTTATACAGGGTGAAGAACTGTTTTCAGACTTAACAGAGAAGGAATTTCAGAGTAAAATTGGGATTTTACCTGTGTTCAAAGTTCCTTAAAACCCAAATTTCAGTGACTTTTAATATGACTTAAATTACAACTTAGAAGTCTTGATTTCACTTTATAGTCCTTTAGACTTTCACATAAACTAATTCCACAAAGTCCCTTCTTCTCCTTGAGGAAATGGTGATCACCTGACTATGAGGATGAGTTTAAAATTATAGGATCACAGGCAATAAAGAGCAATAAGTTTAGGCAAAATGAGGCAGGGGTATAATATAAGGGACTGTGGAATCATAAGGGGGCCAGATAACATACGAAATATAGTGAACATGTATATTGTGATAACTGTAGAATACTATTGTGGCTGATCAGATTTGCAGCTCACTGAAATCCAAATGAGATCATTACTTTTCTTGGTAAAACATCCAGTTATACTCTGGACTCCTTAAATTGTCACTGAAAGAACTAAAATGCACAAGGGTAAAGCTATCATCATTGAGAGAGGAATTTCAAGGAAAGAAAGAAGATTAAGAGGAGATTCTTACCTCTGACAATGCTGGGTCTTCACGGAGTAAAACAGAGATGAAACTGACATTATCCAATTCCTGTCACACAGCCTTCCTAGATCACACTTGTAAAATTTCCATTTATGATGTTTTTCCTCTATGAGAGGATACTTCAGAGTCCCTTCATTTTTTCCACCCTTTCATTGTATTTCAAATAATTAATGTTATTATTGTGGTAGTATAGTCTATGTTGTCATTGTCATCTTCATCATTGTCATCATGTTGTGATAACTATGTATAAGGGTCTTTTATAGTTATTTTATTCATAATATCTCCTTTAAGCCTCAGCACAATCTTGTCAAATTGTTTTCTTATTTTTGGTTTACAGAGAAGGAAACTTTGATACAGAAAGGAAAACAAAATCATCTATGATTAAAAAGCAAGCTGCAACTGGCACCAGAATATAATCTAGTCACATCCTTGTTGTGACTGCAGAACGAGAGAAATAGAGGCATAACAAGGGAGATGGTGGGGAGTTGTCTCTGTAAAGTCTCAACAACAAAAAATGTAACTGAGATAACTGTGTGCAGACTAGCCTTCAGATCAGGTATCTTGCAGCTTTCAATTAAACTTTATGCTTACCATTTTTAGGCATTAAGAGACAGAGATTATAAAATCAGAAAAGTAGTCTGAACTAACTAAGCAGTGAAATAACAAAGAAGGGAGTTTTTCGAATTGACATGTTGAAAAACAATCAACAAAAAGAAAGGATAAGATCTACAAATCTTGGCAATGACGATGATAATGAGTACAAGCATAGAAAAAAGAATGAGGTAGACAATCCAACATCGGAGAAGCAGGATTTGGGATCATTGTAAGGTAGATTGAATAAGAAAAATAGCAGAGCTTAAATATCAGTTTGCACAATACATGAATATAATTTAATTATCACACAGTCAGAAATACTGAATTTATCTCTGAAATTTACTTGTTCGAGTTCTTGTTTGTGAGTCATTCATTTCCTGGCAACTGCCATTATTAAACATCCCAGGCAAATATCTGCTGTATTTGGGTTTTGTCTGCCTGTGACTAGAGTAGATATAAAAGGATTTGAGTGTCTTCAGGAACTAAAGCAAACTGCAAGGCAAAAAGATGTCAATTTATTTACTTATGATAGGAAGTATTCTGTTCCATGGATTTTAAATTTTCCTATCAGAATTTTGGTGAGCATGGATGCTTGACAAATGATGTACAAGTGAATTTTTAAGAGGTCATTTGTCTACTTCAGTTTTTCTTGACTGCAGAATTGGAGAAAATATTTTCTCATTTGTTCCAAATACAGATCATTGAAGGTCAAGGTCAGATGCCAATAGATTTGTTCTGAGACATTATATATTATAAAACCAATTGATATATCTATATATCTATATATATGTATAGATATACATATATGTGTATATATATATGTGAATATATATGTATATTTCAATTTCAATAATGGAATTTAATATAAATCACTGCAGGAGTTGAAAGAAAGAAAGAGAGAGGAAGGAAGGAAGGGTATTATAAGACCAGGGAGTCAAGACGTTTCTAAAAATTAAAAAATTAGAATTTGTGTGTGTGCTGCTTTGTCTGGGTAGTATCTTTGGAAGAAGACTGTCCGTGTTTTGTGAGGAAATTGAATGGATTGCATCTAGGGGGTAGAAAAAAAAGATCCTTGTGGCTATAAAATGGATATTTTACTTAACTAATCATGCTCAACAGTGAAATGGAGAAATGCAAAGCAGAAATGTGGAGATTGGTTAAGAGTGATTACAAGTAAAACACTGAAGTTTTGTTTTCCTGATGCAGATCCTTGTCTTATCATTGACTTCCCCACTGAAGTGTATTTGTGGACTTTGATTATGGTTTAATAGACAGCCCTATGGACAACTCTAACTCCAGCAACAGCTTGTCCTCCACATTCTATCTCACAGGTATCCCTGGCTATGAAGAATATCACCACTTAATTTCCATCCCATTCTGTCTCCTCTACCTTGTGGGAATAATGGGCAACTGTACCATTCTGCATATTGTTCGGACAGATCCCAGGCTCCATGAGCCAATGTACTACTTCCTGGCCATGCTTTCCCTCACTGACATGGGTATGTCCCTACCCACAATGATATCTCTCTTCAGGGTGTTGTGGTCCATTTCCAGAGAGATCCAGTTCAATGTTTGTGTGGTGCAAATGTTTTTCATTCACACCTTCTCATTTACTGAGTCATCTGTGCTCTTGGCCATGGCCCTTGACCGGTATATAGCCATCTGTCACCCTCTACGATATGCTACCATTCTGACCCCAAAACTCATTGCCAAGATTGGAATTGCGGCCCTGCTTAGGAGTGCTATTGCAATGATTCCACTCCTGGCCCGTCTGCCTTTCTTTCCCTTCTGCCACTCCCACATTCTTTCTCATTCATATTGTCTGCATCAGGACATGATTCGCCTTGCCTGTGCTGACACCAAATTTAATGTTGTATATGGATTGGTGTTGATCACTGTGCTGTGGGGCATGGACTCACTAGGTATTTTTGTATCTTATGTTTTTATCCTTCATTCAGTGTTAGGAATTGCATCCCATGAGGGGAGGCTTAAGGCCCTCAACACATGTGCATCCCATATCTGTGCTGTACTCATTCTTTATGTGCCTATGATAGGGCTATCTCTTATTCATCGTTTTGCCAAACACTCCTCCCCACTCATACACATCTTTATGGCTCATATCTACTTATTGGTTCCACCGGTGCTCAATCCAGTTATTTATAGTGTGAAGACCAAGCAGATCCGCCAAGGAATCCTTCATCTGTTTCTTCTCAAAAAGATCAGTTCTACTGTGTTGTAGGCATGTCCTCAAGACAATGATGCCACCAGTACCAACAATGTAAACTCAGTGATTTATTTTCTTTTGTTGGAATTAGAGATGCCAACAAAAGACTCCCTAAAGAGAAGAAACAGAGCCACAGAGAATCACAGAAATGTTGTAAAGGAGAGAGTTTGGGAGAGTTTGTGCCCACTGGGACTATACAGCATAACTTAGCATGTGCTATATAAATTTTTTACTTTTACTATGACTATATGAGACAGAAGTCTGTTGAAAATCATTTTAATCTATTCTCCTTCACTTCTTATCTCATGTACAATTATGTATAAAGACTTAATTGTAAAGTTTACCTTAAATACACTAACATATTTTTTGCATCTTGATAGTCTAAAATATTTGCCATGGAATATTATATTATCTTTTTTGTTATATAATTGCTGTGTTTTCAATCCTATTTATTTTATCATTCTTACAGATGGCAAAATCTTGTATTGATAGAAGAGTATATTATGACTCAAAGCAGAAGTTATCAGCTCACATGGGGTATTGATATCACCTTTCAAACGTTATGTTCTCTCTGATCTAAAGAGATTTAATCTCCTCAGGAATAAAAAGGATGCAACTTTAGGCTAGGTGCAGTGGCTCATGCCTATAATCCCAGCACTTTGGGAGGTAAGTTGGGAGGATTGCTTGAACCCCGGAGTTGGAGACCAGTCTGGGCAACATAGCAAGACGTTGTCTCCACAAAGAAAAAAAAAAGAATGAAAAAAATTTAGCTGGGTGTGGTGGCATGCACCTATAGTCTGAAGGTTGACATGGAAGGATTGCCTGAGCCCAGGAGATTGAGGCTGCAGTGATCCATGATCATGCCACAGTACTACAGCCTGGGTGACACAGTGAGAACACAACTTAAAAAAGAAAGAGTAGGGGAGAGGGCAACCTACATATATTTAATATTTCTTTTAGCTAATTCTTGGAAATAATTTTAACTTTATAGAAGGCTTAAATTTAATAATTTTTAAAAGACCCTAGTTATTATCATGTGAAATCATTGATTATAATCCATTGGCTTAAATGTTTTTTAATAATAATTCATTTAAACATAAAAATGCAGCTCATTGAAGTATAACTACATACAAATTTATGATAGAAATAGATAAATTTAATTTTTGATGTAAAATTCTTTCAGCATACACAATTGTCTTTTGTATAGCTCTGAAATTATCTGGCAGATGACTGTGCATAGAGTTGTATAATAGTACTTGAAAATTTATTTGAATTTTCTTAATTTGCTTGTCTACACTTGCACAAAGGAAAAAAAGCAAAAGGTGAAAGAAAACTTAAAGAATGCTTTATGGCTTTCAATATTTGTATAGGTCTTAATAATAGTTAATGTGTTTTCTTATATATTATTCTAACTAGCATCAAGCAGAAATTGCAAAAATCAGCATTATCCTTGGTGTAAATGAAGCACTCAGTGATTGCTAACAGTATAAATAATAAACAAATGAATCAATCATTTAACAAAGAATTACTAGTTTGTATATTTTTTTCAAAAACCTGGAACTGCCATGAGTTCACATTTTATGCAATAAAAGACATCTTAATAACTTATAATTGGAATTTCAAATTTCAGGCACATGTGGTACATCTGGAAAACAGATAAACATGTATCTGTCCCCTATTTTAATTTAACTGTGTTTGTTTCCACCTTTTTTTATTCTATCTTGATTCTACTTTTTACTACCCTTCTCCTTCAGCATTTGCACCTTGACCAATGATATTGTCAAAATGAGTCAAATTCTCTCAGTGTAATAATTAAAACAAAATTGGTAGGAAAAGCAAAATTTAAAGAAGAATATGAGCATTACCATCAATTGTATATCGTATAAGTAATATTTCACTTTCTATATTCATCTTTAAAATATAACCTTCAAATGCAGAATATATTTTTATATTGATGCTAAATGCACCTTTCCCAGTTATCATGCTTCAAAAAATTTTATCAATTTCTTTAGGTTAATAGAAATATATTTAAACTATGAATCTTAGATTTTAAATTTACATGTCAGTAAAATTAGTTTAAGTAGATATTTATGTTGATTACCAAACTTTTGAGTTTGCAAAGTATCATCTACTACACTGGTTCTTAAAATGTGTTATTACAATTACTACATATCCATAAAATACATCTTAAAAATATAAAGAAAACATATTCTGGTTGGGTGAAGTGGTTCATGCCTATAATCCCAACACTCTGGGAGGCCAAGGTGGGAGCATAGCTTGAGCCCAGGAGTTTGACACCATTCTAGGCAACATATTGAAACTTCATTTACACATACAAAATAAATACAAATAAAACCAATTAGCTCAGCATGATAGCATGCATCTGTAGTCTTAGATACTTAGAGGCTGAGGTAGAATAATCTCCTGAATCTAGGAGGTCAAGGCTGCAGTGAACAGTGATCAGTGATTGTGCCACTGCACTTCAGCTGGGCAACAGAGTGAGAGCCCAAATAAAAAAAAAGAAAGAAAGAAAGAAAGAAAAAGAAAACACATGTTCCCCAAATTAAGGAAATTATTCCCAGTAAAATACAATATAGCTAGGGAAGATATGAGTGATTGGATATATGAATAAAAAAAGAATACAAGGTTATATTAAAATTTTTTTTTAAATTGGAGTCTAATTGTTTTATTTATTGTAGAGACGAGGTCTCGTCCTGTTGCTCAGACTGGTCTCGAATCCGCGGGCTCAGGCAATCCACCCACCTCGGCCTCCCAAAAGATTGGGATTACAGGCTGAGCCCCTGAACCTGGCCTATATTATAAATTGAGAAAAGAAGTCTCTGGATTTTGTAAGATGGATGAAGACTGGGTTCAGTCCTCTGGTAAACAGATAGTGTGTCTAAAACAAGAAGCTTTCTTGTTTTTGCCTAAAAGTACCGCAATAGAATTAAAACATCTATTTCATTTGCATATGAATTTAGGAATTAGGAGATGTTCTTACTCATATTGCCTTCTTAGATACTGTCATGAATATTTATTTGTCTTTTGAAAGCATTTTTTACATCTCCACAGAATATGTAAAATATCCAGAAACCCGAATATTTATTTTCAACTTTGTATTCCAACCTCTTATCATTAGGCTAAAACGCAAAGTGATTGTTTTCATAATGTTGAATGGATTATACACTGATCAAGGTATGTTGCAAAAGGCCCTTTGTGGCAAAACACAACAGCAAGAAAAAATAACATCAAAAAATGCTACTGTTCCCTTCATTATCTTAGAGTTTGAAACTGTTATAAAACACTTCATTAACCCACTTAGCTATTCAGTCAGTCTATATAAAAAAATTCAACATAAAAAAATCATTAAGACAAGAGCATGGATGACCACCCAATTACACACAAAGTATAGAAGCATTCATATGCTTTTTAAAAAGAATGAAGCCAATATATGTTTTAAGAAAGTCCAATTAATTAAGCCACTGGACCATATTCATATCTTATTTATGACACACTTTTTAAATTATCTGAATGGAAGGGAAATACTTTAGTTCTTTCGTTAATCTAGAGATGAATATTTTTTAGTGGAGAAGAGAAATCACATGCAAAAATGATGGCAGATATGTTGAGAAATGATAAAGACTGTCCCAGATACTATACAATACAGTTAGCAAGAATGCTTTGTATGTGAAAAGTTAAACTAGAAAATTTCCATGTGCTTATATAAAATAACTAAATGAATCCAGTGAACTATTTCCCATAATGTAAGCTTTTTGAGCTTTTTGACCCATCTGAACTTCTGTTAAAACAGTTTCTTAAGGAGTATTACAGATGGAAACAGGTTTGGCATTCTGACCCAATATGGAGCAATTATATCTGTCCCAGAGTCATTGCAGATGAAACAGATTGGTACTCAGAACCTATAGCAGCCTAACTTTTGTGCTTACTGAGTAGTATTTATTCCATTTATCCTTGGGTGCCATAATATAATGCAGAATGTTTCTATATAGTATACTGCTTTTTTGTTTATTCAACCTAAACAAAGTGAGTTTCTAGTGTGTGCAACCAAAATAATCTTTATTAAAAAAAGATATTTAAGGAGTCAAAAAGCAGATATTTCTGGAAACAAAGCTAAAAGATTTTGAGAGAGAAAAAATACGTATTTTGCCTATAAATCTTATACATAAAGACATATCAGGGAGTTTTTTTAACATAAGATCATTAGCATTTTATTTAATTAATTAGGGTATTTATTAAAGAAACATCTTACCCAAATCTCTAGGTGGCCATGAAATCAGTACTAAAAGGGGAATTAATATCTGTACAAACACACATGAAGAAAATGGAGATATCACAAGTTAAAAGCATAACGTATCACCTAAGGGAGCTGGAAAAGCAAGATAACCAAAACCCTAACTTTAGTAGAAGAATCAAGATCACCAAAATAAAAGCCCAAATACAGAATATAGAAGACAAACTATAATATAAAAAAAAAATGAAACAAAAACCTGGTTTTTTGAAAAGATTAACAAGATTGATGTACCACTAGCCACACTAACTAAGAAAAAGAGAGAAAAAGCCCAAATAAACACAAGCAGAAGTGTAAAAGAACAAGTCACAACTGACCTTGAAGAAATCCAAAACATTATGAGGGATTGCTATGTACATTAGTATGGAAACAAACTTGAAAATCCAAATGAAATGGAGGACTTACTGATATCACACAGCCTCCCCTGATTGAAACAAGAGGAAATTGAGAACCTAAATAGACCAATAACAACCCAGGAGATTGACTTTGTCATAAGAAAACTACCTACGACTAACCCTGGACCAGATGGCTTTCCAGTAGAATTCTACAAAACATTCAAGGACAAACTGATACCAATCTTATTGAAAGTATTCCAGGCAATTGAGAAAGATGGAATTCTCCTCAAATCATTTTATTAAGCTAACATCGCATTGATACCAAAACTGGGTAAAGATCCAAAAAAGAAAGAGAACTACAGGCCGATATCCTTGATGAACATAGATGAAAAATTTCTCAAAAAGATTCTAGCAAACTAAATTCTACACCACATCTTAAAAATCATCCAACAGGACCTAGTAGAACTCATCCCTGCATTGCAGGACTGGTTCACCATCTACAAGATCATAAACATAATTAAATACATCAACAGATGTAACAGCAAGAACTACACGATTATATCATTAGACATGGAAAAGCTTTCAATAAAATTCAACATATCTTTTTGATAAGAACTCTGGAACATCTAGGTATAAATGAAACATAGCTCAAAATAGTAAGAGCAATCTACGATAAACCAAGTGAACAGAAATTGGAACCATTTCCCCTGAAAACCAAAACAAGAAAAGCAGACCACTCTCACCCCTCCTGTTCAACATAGTGTAGGAAGTTCTTCCTATAGCAATCAGAGAAGAGAAGAAAATAAGGAGTACCCAAATAGGAAAAGAGGAAGTTGTTATCCCTCTTTGCCTAAGACATGATCCCATACCTTGAAAACCCAAGTTATTATCCTTCTTTGCCTAAGACATGATCCCATACCTTAAAAACCTCCTTGCATTGATAAAGCACTTTGGCAAAGTCTTAGGGTATAAAATAAATGTGCAAAAGGCAGTCACATTCTTATACACCAGCAATAAACAAACCAAAACCCATATAAAGAGCACAACCTTGTTCACAATAGACACACACACAAAAAAAGTCATGGCATCTTCCTAACCAGAAGTGAAAGACATTTTCAATAAAAACTACAAAACACTGTTCAAAGAAATCAAAGATGACAAAAACAAATGAAAAAATATTCCATGTTCATGAACTGGAAGAATCAACATTTTTAAGGTGTCCATCCTATCCAAGGCAATCTACAGATTTAACACAATACCCGTTAAATTACCAGCATCCTTCCTCTCAGACCTGGAAATAACAATACAGAAATATAAACAATAACAAATAGCCAAATCAATCCTCAGCAAAAGAAACAAAGCAGGAAGTATCACACTTCCTGACTTTAAACTTTATTATAAGGCTACAATAATCTAAACGACCTGATATTGGTACAAGAATATGCAGGAATATAAACCAATGGAACAGGATAGAGATTCTGGAAGCAGAACCTCAATTTCTCAACCAACTCATCTTTGACAAAGACTTCACTAACAAGCACGAGGAGAGGTGAACTTATTCAGTAAATGGTGCTGGGGAAATTGGCTAACCATATGCAGAAGATTAAAACAAGACCCCCACCTATCACAAAAATCAACTCTAAATAGATCAAAGACCTAAACATAAAACCTCAATCTATAAGAACCTTAGAAAATTCAGGAGACACCTTTATGGAAATTGGAACTGGCAACCAATTCCTGATCAAAACCCCCAATACCCATGCCATAAGAGATACGATGGACGAGTGGGACCTCATCAAACTGAAAAGCTTCTGCAAAGCAAAGAAACCATCAAGAAAGTGGGGAGACAGACCACGGAACAGGAAAAAATATTTTCCAACTGTATGTATGATAAAAGCCTAACATCAAGGATCTACAAGGAACTCAAACGTGCTGAAAAGTAAAAAACAAACAGCCCTATTACAAAGTGGTCAAAAGATATGAACAGATACTTATCAAAAGGAAACATAAGAGCAGCCAACAGTTACATGAAAAAGCATTCAGTCTCACTAGTCATCAAAGAAATGTAAACTAAAACCACACTGAGATACCACCTAACTCCAAGAAGGAAGGCTATCATCAATAATTCAAAAAACAATAGATGCTGGAGAGGATGTGGGGAAAAGGGAACACTTTTACACAGCTGATGGGAGTGTAAAGTAGTACAACCTCTGTGGAAGACAGTTTGGTGATTCCTAAAAGTTTTAAAAATTGACCTTCCGTATGACCCAACAATTCCCCTTCTGGAAACATACCTGAAGGAACTCAAATTACTCTATAAAAAAGATATCTGCACATGCAGATTTATTGCAGCATTATTTACAATAGCAAAAACACGGAACCAACCGTGCTGTCCATCGAAAGAGGACTGGTTAAAAAAAATATTGTACTTATACAGAATGGAATATTATGCAGCTATAAAGAAGGACAAATTTTTGAACTTCATAGCAACTTAGATGGATTTAGAGTCTATTATACTGAGTGATCTATCACAGAAACAAGGAACTGAGTACTGCATGTTCTCACTCATAAGTGGACCTTGAACAATTATAACACTATAACAAAGCGATTGACCATAGTTGGAAACTGCCAGGGAAGGAAGAGGGGCACACCTCATCAACAAGGGTACCTGATCACAAACCAGGTGAAGTGGGGATCAAAGTGAGGCCTAAAGTTTACCTACACAATGACCATTTGTATACCTAATCCTGAATTGTACCTCATAACTTTAAAATAAAAAAAGACATTGATCTGTTATAAAAATATTTATTAAATTACTTGTGTATTCTGGTTCTCATGGTTATACTGATAAGACCAGGATCATAAGTAATTTCTAACCTCATGGAGTTTATATCTTGTCCTGTCCAAAGAAAATTGACATAGTGTGCGGGTATCTTTTTTATAGAGTGTTTTGAGTTCTCCAGGGTATATTCCCAACCATGCTGTCCATCAAAAAAGGACTGGATTAAAAAAATATGGTACATATGCAAAATGGAATATTACACAGCCATAAAAAAGAAAAAATCATGAATTTTGCGGCAACCTGGATGGAATTAGAGTTTATAATACTGTGTGATCTCTCACAGAAACAAAGATCTGAGTATCACATGTTCTCACTCATAAGTGGACCCTGAACAACTATTGTAATACTATAAGAAAAGGATTGACAGTGGCAGGAAACTATGGGGGCAGGGAGGGCAAGGGAGGTGGAATTAACAGTAGTCAGTATCTGTTTGGGGACGGGTGGGGGGCACACCTCATCAACAAGGGTGCCTGCACAATGCATATTTGTATACCTAACCCTTAACTATACCCCACAATTTTAAAATAAAGAATATGTATTTTTTAAGAAAAGGAAATTGACATGGAAGGGACATTTTATATTACAAAAAGTATCAAAATTATCAACTCTGTCGTGCTGACATTTCACTGATTATTACCTTAATATGTTGAGACACTTTTTGATGGTGCCTAAATTCCCTGTCATCTTTCTATTCACTCCACATTGAAGAGATGGCATTTGGAAATATACTTCGATCATTTTGCTTGGCCACAGAGCCCTATTACTCGCATCCTTATCTCCTTCGTCTTTACCCCATAAACAAGAGGGCTCATGGTAGTTGGCAGTAGTAAGTAGAGGTTTGCCAAGAGGATGAGGGCATGCCCAGGCACCTGGTGCCCAAAGCGATGGATAAAGAAGGAAAAGAAAGCCAAAATATAAAATATCAAGATGACACATAAGTGAGCTCCGCAGGTCCCAAAGGCCTTTATCTGAGCCTTCCTAGAAGGTAGTTCAAACACCGTTTTCAGGATGAGCCAGTAGGAGAGGCAGATAAGGACAAAGTCCAGCCCTGTGGTGAGGAGAGCAGCCGTGAGCCCATAAATGCTATTAAGGGTAATGCTATTGCAGGCCAACTTGGCAATGCCCATGTTTTCACAGTAAGTATGGCGGATGATGTTGCTCCTACAGAAGTGTAGCCGGAGAATGAGGAGGACACCGGGGGTGACTACAATCACACTCCGAGCAACCAGAGCCAGGCCTAGTTTGCCAATGAGAGAGCCTGTAAGGAGGGTAACATAATGAAGTGGTGTACAGATAGCTACATAGCGATCAAAAGCCATGGCCAGTAGAATAGCAGATTCAGAGAGGAACAGAGCATGAACAAAAAACATCTGTGTGAGGTAGGCAGGAAATGATGACAGGGTAGGGCCCTGCCAGAAGATTAGAAGCATTTTGGGCACTGTGACAGTGCAAAGGAGGACATCGTTGAGTGCCAGCATGGCCAGAAAGAGATACATGGGTTCATGGAGGTTCCTGTCCCAGGCTACCACTGCCATAAGCAGGCTATTGCCTATAACAGCCAAGAGGTACATGAAGCTGAAAGGGATGGAGAGCCAGATTTGGAAGTCTTCTAATCCTGGGACACCCATTAGCAGAAAGGCCGTGAATTGAGTAGATGTCAAGTTGGATACTGTTGCAAAGAAGTCGCCAAATTCTATTATGAAAAATAGAGATAACTATGATAAATGACTGTAGGAAATGAGTATTTATTCCTTCATCTTAGTCAAGTCCTAATCAAAATTTTAACATGATGAAGTGGAAGGAGCAAAGACCATGAATAGAATGATCTGAGATAGGTTACTAAATAACAGAGTAATTGAGGGAAAAGTACTCACCTTTTATAGTACACTTTGTTTTCTTTGAAAAAATTGTGAATCTGATGAATGTTTTAACAATATAATTGATGTATATGTCTTTACATCTAATTGATGTGTATCTTTTGAACTTTTAATTATTCTGTGTATATAGTTTTTGACTTTTTACCTTGACAATAAATTCTTAATTATACAAAAAGTAATTTTACCTTTCTTGTATTTCCATAATACTGGAAACTGGAAAAAATATTCTATTTTTTTGTGATCATACTGAATGGGAGGAGATGGGTTGGATGATAAACTGATACTGAAGTGGAATCAGCATGAAGATTCTAATTTTTGTTTCCATCCTAAGTGTGTGAAATATGTCCCTTGTCTTAATTTTTCACATTATATAGTTTACATATATATGCATATATAAAATTATGTGAAATATAGTTTACAAATATATACACATATTATATACATAAAATCACTCATCTGTCTCTCACCCATACCCTTGAGGATAGTGATTGAATTAGCATGAAATTTAAAGTGCTTCACAGAAGTTGTAATATTCATGCACCAATAAACATTAACTCACAAAGATAAAGGTATGGAGTCAAAGAAGACAAATACAAGTCGAGTGCAGTATGTTCTCATTCAGAACAAGATCACTGAAAAATATTCAGGTTCATAATCACTCAGTACCTTACACAGAAAGAGCTTTCTATGGAATAGAGTGATTATCATTTTTACATATACCACCCAGAGAACAAGATCAAATTACAGCAACTTTGTTCTATAACACAGCTTCTTAATTTTAGCACAACAAATATCATTTTTAAAGAAAAATCACTTTTCTCTTTTTTTAAAAAAAGCCCTCAAATATAAAACTATTCATTTCCCTAGACTAAGGCACATTAAATTGGTCATGTTTGAAATCAAAAGTAGTATTTTTGGCAAAGGTACCATATATATTTATTAACAATTTTTGACTACAACTCTTAGGAAGTTTTAAAGTTAGGAATATAAAATATTATTCAATCAGAAGAGATCTACCAAAATCTTAATTCTGCACTGACTTCACTTTTCATGTGGGCTATTAACCAACAAGTAGATAGAAAACTACCCTGCATTTCAAGATCTCCATCAGTCATCTTTCATGTTAGCTGAGCTCCTCCTTTTCAAATTATCCCAACCTAAGGAAGTAGGACACATTATCAAATTATAAACACATATTTATCCTATTCTCCCTCATACTGTATCTTCTATCTATCTATATCTCTCATTCATTTCACATAAAGAAGAAAATAAAAGTTTATGGCCCAAGGGCATACACATAAAATAGATGAAGTGGCTTTTTATAAAAACTACAAGAGAGAGATTTATTTGAATAAATATTTTGTTAAAAATGCCAAAGTGGAACTACAATTTTATTATCCATTTAAAACTAAAACTTTATTTATCCAGTTGTCTCCCTGCAGCACCTGGCTTTGCTGTATGACAATCAAATATAAAATATCAGTATATTTAAATAGAAGTCATATTACATACAGCACAAGAATTGGCAATATAACAGTAATAGCAAATAATAATAATAGGAGATATTTATCCCAGTGTTTACAATGAATCATTTTTCTAGAAACTGTCCTAAGCACTTAATATGCATGATAAATTTAACCGTTACATCTGCAATATAAGGTAGCTATTGTTATTTTCTGATTTTACACAGGAAGGAACTCAGGCACTGAAGGATTAAATTATCCAAGGTCATATTACTAATGAATATGCAAAACTCTGAGTCTAAGCATTTATCTGAAGAAGGATCCTGTAAAACCAAGTATTGTCTCCTAATTAAAATGTCACTTTCTTTGTACCAGTGATAAGAGCAAGGCACATACACATCTTGTCTACTGGTCACAGATTTCTTAAATTGCCCTATTCAGTTTCTCAAAATACCAGTCTGGACTATCATTTTCAATTCTATATACTTAACTAAAATCATACATTTTGAATGACAAAAACTGACAGATTTGCAACCAACACCAGAAGTATAATCGGAATATATATATATATACATTCAATTTTCACTTTTTTAACTTGAATAATTTTAGATAAGCAAGACAGTTAAGGGCCCAAGGCACTCACTCCTCCATCATTAAAATTAAAAAAAACAAATTTCAACAATTCCAGGCTTAGCACTAGCATAAATGATATATCTGCCACTTTCTATGCAAAGGCTCTTGATTCTCTGAATCTACTCTTTCCAGTCTTAGAATGTGTTAGTTTTCAGAGTTGAAGCTGGTCAGTGTTATCACAGAATTGAATATCTACTTCTTCTCTGTCCTTGAAATTTTTTAAAGGATTTCTTTTTTTCCATTAGAGTCAGTCTTATTTTCCAAAATTACTTGGATGTGTCTTTGAGAAAGGCAACATGAATATCCTCACAGGAAAAGGTCCTAAAACAGATATTGGGTTTTTTCTTGTATAGTATGCCAGAGTTTAACTATACAGATGTTAGTCCAAAGTACCTTTGATCTTTTCTCTGTATGCAAAATCAGTTAAACTGTGATTTTCTTCTCACCTGACATCTCAAAGAAGTTTGCTGGAGTTCTGCAAGAACAGATTTCTCTTACATCCACAAAGCCTAAAACACTTTAGACGCAGTTTGCGCTCTTTTATATTGTTTATTAACAGCTACCTGAGGGGATAGGAATCTTCTGGGACACCCTCTTCCCGTGCTTTGTTTAAAGTTATTATTAGCTCTTGACTAATCAATAAGAATACTCTAGGTTTTGTCCAGATTAATCTACAGAGTTATGTATAGCATATACAAAGTGAGTATGAATCTTAACTCAAGTTAAAATTTATCCAAAATTTTCAAACTAAAATTCATATTAAGACAGCGTATCTATAATTTGGGAACATTTATGTATCATTTTCTAGAATGTAATTTTAAAATTCTTAAAATTTGCTTTAACAAAATATCAACATGCTGCTGTCTCTTATCTATAAAGTTTTGAGAGGCAGATTTGAAATATGATTGGTTACATATGGAATTATCTGAGAATTCTGGAGTAAAAATTTTATCACTCTTTCATGCCATAATTATCTCTCTTTCACACTATAAGTGCACACTTTGACTAAAAGATCACAGGAGTCATAGTGCATAAGAAAAAAATTAAGCATGAACTTTTGGGATTTCCAGACTCAAGGACAAGGCCTGGGACATACAGACATTCTTGTAGTGCTAAAAATTCAATCGGAGCACCTAGTGACTGTAGCAGCGGACAGGTATGAGAGAATTTTAAAAAAAAGATCTTATATATTACATATGATTCCTAAAATTCAAATGTAGGCACATTACATTATACATTAATGAAAATTCACATGCCCTAATATTAAACCAATCTCATTATAGCTATCTTTTTAAATTGAAGGTTGGCTAGTATACACTGGCAGCTACAAGTTTTCAAAAATTTCACTTTTTTCTTGAAAGTGATAACTTTTCATAAACAAAAAATACTGCCAGCTATTTTCCTTGAAGTAATTCTGCTCATTTTTTGAGAATATATGTCAAATTCTACCTGATTTTGAATAATCATTGTTTGTCTTAATGTTTTTAACCAGTACATATTATTATTTTTCAGTATAACAAATGACTTGGTCATTGATTTTATGTTTTCCAAATCTATAACTTATTTATTTATCAAGAGCTAAAAATAAACAATGCTACTCATTCCTATGATCCTGTTAATAAAATATTATAGTTAAATTAGTATAAATAGAAAACTGCTTGGTTCCTCCTTTAGAGATTCAGAAGTCTTCCATGTCATCTTGAAAAACATAAGTGCTCTTAAGTTTTCTGAGTTATTTCCTCCCACTTAGTATGCCAGTTTAGTCTACTAGAATACATGAAGGGATGTAATCATGTATTCTAGGGAAGATTCTTAAGTACATATGTAAATGCAATTCAGATAATTTGTTATTTATAGCACGTATCCAGTAACGTTTCTCAATATTAATGGCCACTGAGTTCTATACATATATTTTTTAAATTCAGGCATGCTAATAGCTGATTTTTGAAATACTAACCCAATAAGACAGAGGACTGTAAAAATGGTTTTACCTAAGGCTAGATTGTAGAAGTCTGCATTGCCCAGAGCAAGCAGCATGTGAGGATTCTCAATTGTGTAGGAAGTATATAGAGAACAATTCCTCAAAGTCTTCTTAGTCTTTTCTTTTCTAGTCTCATGGCAGTGTAAGCTTGTCTTCTCATTAATTCTTTTACACAAAGCATTTCAGGTCTTTCAGAAAGATAACAAGTTTCACATCCTGAGCATTTCGACTTAAAATTACCAATGTTTTCTATGTTTTTTTTTTCTTTCCTTTTTTTCCTTGCTCTTGGAACATAACATAGAAAAAATAAATGTATTCTTTCCTAATGATACCTAGTAATCTAGTTTCAAGTCCCAACCTACTACGGACAATTTGATCTTAGATAATTTTAGTAACAATTCCGTATCTCAATTTCTTGATACAATCACCCAGTTTGATTAAGGATTTGCCTATAGAATTGGCCATTATACATATAAAATACACTGTGCAGTGTTTTACATATATTAGTTGTTTAACACATTTATAAACAATATTAAACATGAATGATAATGACAACAACAATAAAAGGGTGTTGTTGAATGAAAAATAAACTGGTTAGTCATTACATCAATGCCCATAGTGTTACCTTACTTTTAGCATATACAGCCACTTACACCAGAACAGAATAATTATGTGGAGAATAGGTCTGCAAACTTTGCAATGAAATTACCAAATATCCACAAGTCTACATTTCTCACTA